GAGTCTATAAACCAAGAAATGAAAATATTTAAATGTACTGATTTAAACAATTTCAAATAAGGTTCAACTGAATGAAGAGTATAAAACTTGTATTAAAATTATAAAAGGAAAGATAACAACTTAAAAGGTACCCAAGTTATTTGAGTATTTCCAGAATTAAGTAACTTTCATTTTTAAGCCCCCTAGATTTCCCCACTATTTAGTTTTGTTATAATGAAGGTTAATAACTTATATTTTAGTGTGAACACATTTACTTCTGTTCATAAGAGCATATTCTTTAATGTTCTATGAAGCCAAAGAATAAGACCAATACCCAGCACCAAAACAAAAAAAACACCTAGCTGAGTACTTTAAGTGCACAACATTGGATATTTTCTTTAGTGCAAGCACATGGCTGTTATTATGACTGATGTAGGCTACTTTTAGAATTAAATGTAGTCTTTCTCTGAAGATTTAAGGCAGACTTTAATTCCATCTGCTCACTCATGGTACTAAAATGGATCAAAGATGGCAAATAAATCAGACAAGTCAGCAAGAGAATGGCCTTTTTTATAACACCAGTAGGGGAGTCAGTGGTCACGCATTAGCAGGTAAGACTAGGAATACAGCTAAACAGATCATCAAAATATGGTTCTTCAGGGTACTTTTTCCATGAAATTTTTAACTACCTGGAAACTGTTCCAATTTTTAAGGTGAACACAATTCTAATATTTTCGGGAGACAAATATGGGTAGAAAAAGGTTACACTAAAAAATGGTATCCCAATCTTAAATTTTAAAGAATTTATTTCCCATTTGTAGAGTGACAATATTGTAAAATCCACAGTTATTGCAACACCTGCACTGCTTAAAAGAACTAAGAATTTTGTTAAAGCGTATTTTTAAAAAACTGAACCAAAATAATGTACATTTTATCTCAACATTGTGTCATTGAAGTCCACATAATGTCCTCTGTATAAATCAATATGATGTTACATAATATACATGATCTGATTTTTATCCTAAAGGCTTCCGACCATGTATGATATCCAAGATAGATCCAATGCTTTTAATGTCAGACTGTAGACATAGTTACAATCCTAAATAAAAGAAGGGAAAGCTTTATATACAGGACAAAAGTCTGACAGTTTAGCTGTTCGCGGCATCAGCTTGGCGAGGCCATCCTTCTTCTTCAACTCCAGAGTCATACTCCTCTTCAGAAGATTCTTTCGTTGGAGCCCTGTAATAAAAAGCCATCAGTTTTTCTTCTTCATAAAAATTACGGATATGCAATCCCTATCAAATTACCAACAGCATTCTTCAAGAACTGGAACAAATAGTTCAAAAATTCATATGGAACCACCTAAGACCCTGCATAGCCAAAGCAGTCCTGAGAAGGAAGAATGAAGTCGGGGGGA